TTCTCCATACCCTCTCCAATGCTTCTTGTTTATGATTGTTTCAAGATGCATCATTCTCACAGGTGTGAGGAGTTAAACCATTGTGGTTTAGTTAGCATTTTTGGATAAGTGATACCCTCTCCAATGCTTCTTGTTTATGATTGTTTCAATATGCACCATTCTCACAGGTGTGAGGAGTTAAACCATTATGGTTTACACATTTCTGGATAAGTGATATGAGCATTTTGTTTTTCATCTGCCAGTGGGCCATTTGTAGTCTTCTTTGGAGATGTGTTGATTTAATTCTTTTGCTCAATTTTTCATTGTTTTTTTTGTTGTTGTTGGGTTTTATAAATTCTTTTCAGATCTTGGATGTTAGCCCCTTGTAAGATATAGGTTGTGCAAATATTTTCTCCCATTCTTTTTCTTTTAATTATTTTTTACACTGTGCAGAGGTTTTTTAGTTTGATGTAATTCCATTTATTTTTGCCTTTGTTGTTGGAGTCAAGTCCCCAAAGACATCTGTGAAAACAGTATCATGGAGTGTTAACCCTGTGTTTTTGTCTGTGTATTTTACAGTTCCAAGTCTTATATCCATATCTTTAATTCATTTTGAGTTAATTTTTGTGTATGATGTGAGAGAGTGGTCTAGATTCATTCTTTTGCATGTGTGGTCCAGTTTTCCCAGCACCATTTGTTGAAGAGATTTTCCTTTCTCCAATGTATATTTTTAGCTCCTTTGTCATAGATTTGCTATCCATATAAATATGGGTTTATTTCTGGGCTCTCGATTCTATTTTATTCTAATACCACACTGTTTTTATTACCTTAACTTAGTTGTGTAGGTTGAAGCCGGGGAGTGTGATACCTCCTTTCTTCCTCTTATTTGTTAGGATTGCTTTGGCTATTGTGTCTTTTGCACTTTCTTATAAGCTTCAATAATGTCTGTACTATTTCTTTGAAGAATGCCGCTGAAAATTGGTAGTGAATGCATTGACTCTGTTGCTTTGGTTAAGATGGCCATGTTAACATTAGTGATTCTTCCAATCCATGAACAGGGAATATATTTTTTTAAAGATTTATTTATTTTATATAAGAACAGGGTATAGGCCAGATGCGCGGGAGGGTGAGAGGATTCCCCAGAGACAGAGCGGGCAACAGAACAGGCAGATTGACCAAAATACACTGCTGAGGGGAGCAGCAGGTGAGACAGGAGAGGTCTGCAGCGCCATGTGGGACCCTTGCTGGCTGGCCGGGATCGAACCTGCACTGCAGAGGCTGCGGACAGCTTCACAGTGCTGCGCTCACCCCCCTGCACCCGAACAGGAAATATTTTTTCCATTTCTTTGTGTCTTCTATTTCTTTTCACACTGTCTTATAGTTTTCATTGTAGGGGTCCTTTACCTCCTTTGTTAAGTTTCTTCCTAGGTACTTCATTGTTTAATGTTAGAGTGAATGGCATTGTTTTCTTGATTTTCTCTTCAGGTTTGTTGTTTGCATATAGGAATGCAATTGATTTGGTGGCCTACCATTTTACTGATTTATTATTGATAATAGTTTTTTTATTGGTGTCTTTAAGGTTTTCTATGTATATTATCTTTCATGTGCAAATTATGATTGTTTTATTTTTTCTTTCCCATTTTGGATTCCTTTTATGTCTTTCTCTTGCCTAATTCGTCTAGTTGGGCTCCAATACTTTGTTGAATAGTAGTGGTAGAAGTGAACATCCCTAATCTTAAAGGAAATTCAGTATCTCACCATCAGCTATGATATTATCTGAGGGTTTGCCAGATACGGCCTTTATTATGTTGAGGTACCGTCCTTTCACTGCCAGTTTTATTTTTTATCATAAATGGATGTTGGATCTTATCAACTACATTCTCTCCATCTGTTGATAATGATTGTAATATTTGTTTTTTTTTTTTTTGTTGATGTTGTGAATTACATTGATCAGTTTTCAGATGTTGAACTGTCCTTGCATCCCTGGTCTAAATTTCACTTGGTCATCATGTGTAATCCTTTTGGGTCACTAAGATTTAGTTGAGGATTTTTGCATATATGTTCATCAGGGATGCTGGTGTGTGTTTTTTTTTTTGTTTTTTTTTTTTGTTTTTTTTTTTGTGATATCCTTGCCTGCTTTTGATATCAGATTAATTTTGGCCTCATAAAATCTGTATGGAAGCATTCCCTTTTCTTCAAATTTTGGAAAGAGTTTGAGAATGATTAAGGGATCATCAGAAAGACATAACATTCATAAGTATATATATACCAAACTAAGTAGCCTCAATATATAAAGCAACTATTAACAAATCTAAAAACAGAATTGGCAGCAGCAATTCAGTATCCCACTTTCATCAATGGACAGGTCAACCAGAAAGAAAATCGGCTAGAAAACAATAGTCATAAATGAAGAATTAGACCAGATGGACTTAGTAGATATTTATAGGGCATTGCACTCCAAAAAGTACACAGGAAACATTCTCTGGGATAGATAGACCACATGTTGGTTACAAATGTCATTAAATTCATGAAGAATGAAATTATATCATGTATCTTCTTTAGTCACAGTGATTTCAAACTAGGTATCATTCACAAAAACAAAGCAAGGGAAAACTCTAATATGTGGATACTGAACAATATATTACTGAATGACTGTTCGGTTAATGAGAAAATCGAAGAAGATAATTTAAAAACCTGAAGACAAATGAAAATGAAGACACAAGCTAGCAGAACTATGGTACACAACAAAAGGAGTACTAGGAGGGAAGTGTGTATATAGTGATACAGGCCCACATCAAGAAATGAGAAAGAACTCAAATAAGTGCTCTAACCTAACACCTTAACCAACTATGAAAAGAACAAGCAAAGCCAAAAGACAGCAGGAAATAATAAGAAATTGAGCAGAAGTATATGAAATAAAAGTTTAATTTTTTAAAAGATTTATTTATTTATACAAACACTGGGTACAGTCAGAAGCACGGGAGGGTGAGAGAATTTACCAGAGCCAGAGCGGGGAGCAGAATAGGCAGACTGACAAAGTACACTGCTGAGGGGAGCAGCGAGCGCAGCAGGAGAGGTCTGCGCGCCATGTGGGACCCTTGCTGGCGGCCGGGGATCGAACCGGCGCTGCAGAAGCTGTGGGCAGCTTCACAGCCCAGCATTCAACTGCTGCGCCACCGGGGAGGCCCTATGAAATAAAAGATTAAAAAAGACAGTCCAAATGATCCGTTAAACCAATAGCTGGTTTTAAAAAATTAAACAAACTTGGGCCTCCCCTGGTGGCGCAGCTGTTGAGCGCTGCCCGCAGCCTCTGCAGTGCTGGTTCAATCCCTGGCCACCAGTGAGGGTCCCACATTGCAGGCAGACCTCTCCTACTGTGCCCGCTGCTCCCCTCAGCAGTGTATTTCATCAGTCTGCCTGTTCTGTTCCCCGCTCTGGCTCTGGTGAATTCTCTCACCCTCCCGTGCTTCTGACTGTACCCAGTGCTTGAATAAATAAATAAATAAATCTTTAAAAAAAAAAAAAAAGACAAACCTCTCACTAGACTCACAAAGTAACAAGTTTCCTAAGAACAAAAGCCAAGGACCAGATAGTTTCACTAGTGAATTCTAATAAACCTTCAAAGACAAAGTATTAACACTATCCTTCTGAAATCTTTTCTTAAACGTAGGTAATTACATCTATAAATGTCCCTCTAAGCCCTGCTTTTCAGTGTATCCTAAAAGTTTTGATATATCATATTTTCATTTTAGTTCATCTCAAGGAATTTTCTAATTTCCTTTGTTATTTTTTTTACCCATTGGTGGTTAAGGGTGTGTTGTTTGATTGCCACATATTTGTGTGAATTTTCCACATTCCACACATTTCCTTCTGATTTGTATTTCAGATTTCTCTCCATTGTTATTGGGGAAAATAGGCCTAACAAACAATGAAAACAAATCTGAAATTACAAAGGAAATTAGAAAATTCCTTGAGAATGTCCTGTGTGTACTTGAGAAGAATATGTATTGTGCTTTTGGGTGGATCTTTCTATATATGTTAAATCTAGTTAATTTAATGTTGGAGTCTTCTGTTTTCTTATTGTCTCTTGTCTAGTTATTAATGTTTTCCTGGGAATTACAACTAGCATCTTTTCGAAGTTAATTCATATTAATATAGCTTAGTTTGTTTTAAAGATTTATTTATTTATATAAGAATGGGGTGCAGGCCACATTTGCAGGAGGGTGAGAGACAGAGTGGGGATCAGAACAGGCAGACTGACTGAAATACACTGCTGAGGGGAGCAGTGGGCGCGACAGGAGACATCTGCCACGCCATGTGGGACTCTCATTGGCCAGCTGGGATCGAACCAGCGCTGCAGAGGCTGCGGACAGCTTCATATCCCGGCGCTCAACCTCCTGCGCCACCAGGGGAGGCCCAATATAGCTTAGTTTTAATAGTAGGCACAAACTGTGCATATAGCTTTGTCCCCTCCCCCTACACACATACTTTGTCAGTTACCACAAATTACATCTATATATATTGTGCACCTATCAACATATATATGTAATTAGTTTTTATGGAGTTGTCTTTTAAAATATAGAAAAAAGGGGTAACTGCAAACCAAAAAATATATTACCTTGCTGGTGTTCTTTATTTTTTTTGTATGGATTCCAGTTAGTATTGTGGCACTTTCATTTTAGCCTAAGGGATTCCTATGTTCAGCCTTTCTTTTAGGCAGGTGTACTGGCTATAAGCTTCCTCAACTTTTATCTGGGATTCTCTTAATTTGTTCTACATTTCTGAAGAATAATTATGGCAGATACAGCATTCTTGGTTGGAAGTTCTTTTGGCACTTAAATGTCTTCCTGATGCATTCTGTCCTCAATGATTTCTTATAAGAAATCTGCTGTTGATCACATTGAGGATCCATTTTACATTAGTCGTTTTTCTCTTGCTGCTTTCAAGATTCTTTCCTTGTGTTGAACTTTGACAATTTGCTCATATCTTTTTTTTTATTTTTTTTTATTTTTTTTATTTTATTTTTTTTTTCTGCAAAGATTTTATTTGTGCATATTGGGAGGTGGGAGGGTTGTTAGTCTTTCTTGGCAGCTGCCTTCCTCATGGCAGCCAGGACATTGCTCAACTCCTCTCTCTTCCTCTTGGCGCGGATGTGTGTCCCCACCCTTTTCTTGATGAACTTGAGGGCCCGCTTGTCTTTGGAGACCTTGAGCAACTCCATGGCGCGCCGCTCATAGGGGGCAAAGCCACACACCTCCCGGATCATGTCCCGCACGAACTTGGTGTGCTTGGTGAGGCGGCCGCGCCGGCGGCTGTGTCTCGGCTTGCTCACGTTCTTTGTCACCTTGTGGCCCTTGTTGAGGCCCACGGCCATGGGGTAGCGCAGAGCCATGGCTGCTGCTGTGGAATGGCCGCCGCTGCGGAGAGTCATATCTTTTTTTTTTAAAAAAAGATTTATTTATTCATCCATACAAGAACCGGGGTACAGGCCAGATGTGCGGGAGGGTGAGCGGATCCACCAGAGACAGAGTGGGGAACAGAACAGGCAGACTGATTGAAATACACTGCTGAGGGGAGCAGCCGGCAAGACAGGAGAAGTCTGCTGTACCATGTGGGGAGCTCCCTGGCTGGCTGGGGATCAAACTCATACTGCAGAGGCTTTGAATAGCTTCACAACGCTATGCTCAACCGCCTGCACCACGAGGGGGCCCCCTGCTTATGTCTTTTTGTGGGTCTCTAGTTTTATTTTATAGATGTTCTTTGAGTTTGGATTTGTAAATTGACATCTTCAGTCAAATTTATGACAATTTGGGCCATTTTTAAAAAATCTCTCCTCCCCTTCAAGTACCTGGCCCTCTAACTGTCCCAATTTGTCTCTATCACTTACTCTCCCACCATTTATTTTAAATTTGGAACACCATCCATACTCCCTGTCATGCTTTGTGCTTCATTTTTCTGTTGCATATGTTGAAACATCCTTGCATTCCTGGGATAAATCCCATTTGGTTATGATGTATAAATTGTTGAATTCTGGTAAGGTTTTGTTGAGCATTTTTGCGTCTGTGTTCATGAGGGATATTAGCCTGTAGTTTTCATTTCTTGTACTGCACTTATCTGACTTTGGATTCAGGGTAATATATTGGCTTTGTAAGATGAATTTGGCAGTGTACCATACTCTTGAATTTTTTTAATAAGAATTTGAGTAAGGGTTAATGTTAATTCTTGAAATGTTTGTTTGAATTCACCAGGGAATCCATCTGGTCCTGGGTTTTGCCTTTTGTGTGGTTTTTGATTACTGATACAGTTTCTTTACTCATTGGTGTGTATTTCTATTTCTTCATGATTTAGTCTTAGTAGATTGTATGTTTCTAGGAATCTATCTAGTTCTTCTAAGGTATCCAGTTTGTTTGCAGTTTATTCATAATCGCTTGTGATCCTTTGTATCTCTGGTGTCATTTGTAATGTCTTCTCTTTCACTTGTCTTTTTTTCTTACCATAAAGTTTCTCTGTTTTGTCTTTTCTAAACTGTAGCTCTTTGCTTCATTGATCTTCTCTATTTTTCTGCTATTTCATGTATTTCCACTCTCATCTTTGTTATTTCCTCCATTGTACTGACTTTGGACTTTTTTTTTGGTCTAGTTCTTTTAAGTGTAAAGTTAGGTTGAGAGCTTTTTTTGTTTCTTAGACAGTTATATCTATAAACTTCCCTCTTTATTTTTTGACTTTCTTGTTTACCAATTAGCCTAAATGTGAATTTCATGTCGCAAAATCTTTATGAAGTTGTTCTATATAAGCACAATTCTGTGATTCACATTCTATAAAATTCCCTGTTAGAACAACTTTTGGTGCATCCCATAAATTTTGGTGTGTTGTATTTCCGTGTGTGTGTGTGTGTGTGTGTGTGAGAGAGAGAGAGAGAGAGAGAGAGAGAGAGAAGAGAGAGAGAGAATGAGAAAGTGTCTCAAGATTTTTTCTTAATTTCATCTTTTACCCCATTGGTTTTCAGGTGTGTTTTGTTTAATTTCCACATATTTGTAATTTTTACAGCTTTCCTCTTGTTGATTTCTGGTTTCATTCCACTGTGGTTAGAAAAGATACTTGGTATGGTTTCATCATCTAATTAGCTAAAATTTGTTTTATGTTCTGCCACATTGTATCTAGGAGAATGTTCTGTCTATCTTTGAAAAGAGTGTGTATTCTGCTCCAGCTGGTTGAAATGTTCTGCATAGCCTGTTAGATCCATTGGTCTAAAGAATAATAGTTCAAGGCTATCATTTCCTTATTGGTTTTCTGTCAGGACCATCTATGCTTAAAATGGGGTATTGACATCCTTTACTATTATTATATTGTCTGTTTCTCCCCTGCAAATCTGTTAGTATTTGCTTAATGTATTTTGGTGCTTTATATTGTGTGCATGTATATTGTTATGTAGTTTTAATTTTTTTGTAATTATATAATGACTTTTTCATTATAGCTTTTGAGCTAGTTTTATTTTGTCTGATATAAGTAGTTATCCCTGATCTCTTTTGGTTTACACTTGGCATGTAATATCTTTTTTTGTTTTTTTTCTCATTCCTTCACTTTGAGTTGTGTGTATCCTAAAGCAGAAGTAAGTCTCCTGTAGGGCATATATAGTTGGGTCTTGCTTTTTTTATCCATCCAGCCATTGCCTGTCATTTGACTGTAAAAACAAGTCTGTTTACTTTTAGAGTAATTATTGATAGGTAGGAACTTAACCAATGCCATGTTATTATGTGTGTCCTGGCTATTTTGTATCTGGCTATCTTGTATCTTTGATTTTTGTTCCTTCCTCTCTCATTCCTGTCCTTTGTGAATTGGTGGTTTTCCATAGTAATATGCTTTTGTTCCCTTCTTTTTATCTTTTGCTTATCTAATCAAGGTTTTTTTTTTTTTTTTGTTCTGTGGTTTCCATACAGGTTACATAAAGCATCTTTAAATATAGCAGTCTATTTTAAGCTTCTTTTTAATTAATTAATTAATTAATTAATTTATTAATAATAAATTTTATTTTTATATTCCCCATACAATTGCAACCCCCCATTTTGACCCCAATCCCTCCCCTCCCGCCCCCTCACCCCCCAAAAGTGTCTCTGGTTCATAGTTTTTTGTTGATTTTGATTTTCACTTTCTTATAGTTATTCATTTTCCTGGTCCCTTATTTAAGTTTTCTAGATTCCTGCTATGAGTGAGACCATCCGGTATTTTTCTTTTTCTTTCTGGCTTATTTCGCTGAGCATGATCCCTTCCAGCGCCATCCATGTGCTATGGAGAGCTGTGTGGAGATTTCTGGACCTACTAAACATAGAGCTTCCATATGATCCAGCAATTCCACTCCTAGGTATTTACCCAAAGGACACAGAAACATCAATTCCAAAGAACACCTGCACCCCTGTGTTTATAGCAGCACTGTTTACAATAGCTAAGCTTTGGAAACAGCCCAAATGCCCAAAAATAGATGACTGGATCAAGAAGATGTACATATACACCATGGAATATTACTCAGCATTCAAAAAAGATAAACATATTTTAAGCTTCTTAAGTTAACTTCAATCACATAGAAAAACTATATCCTTTTACTCTTTTTGTTTTATAGGTCCCTCTTTTTGTATTATGTATCAGTATATTACCTTTTTCTATTTAAATACTTTTGTCATTTTTTGATGATTAAAACAGTGTTCTCCTGGGGCCCTTGAACCTTGCTGAGTGGCTCTTCTGGGTTCATGGGCCACTGCATGGTCCACAGCTGGGACTTAGGTCTGCATACTTGTTACCCAGTGATTGGGTGGGCAAGACTCCTCAGATTCATTGGTATATGGGTCTAGATTCCACGGTTTCTACAAAGGTGCTTTTTTCCCTCCCTGGATGAATGCCAAATTATTGTTGGGGGATAGAGGAGTAAATGACATATTATGAGGCCATCTTGAGAACAGTACATCCCATGTTGCTAAAATTTATTTTTTTCCTATGTATGTTGCACAGTGTCTTATTTCTTTGCATGTCTCATATTTTTTGTTGAATACTGGATGTTTTGAATATTATTATGTGATTACTCTAGGAATCACATTCTCACCCCTCCCTGGGGTTTGTTATAGTTTGTTTAAACTCTTCTGAACTAATTTTATAAGTCTTTGTTGTATGTGACCACTTCAGTCTCTGTTGTATTAGCTTAGTAAACCAGCTAGTGATTTGCCATAAACTCCTGGACTCCCCCCCCAAAAATAAATAAAGCTCAGAGTCTTTATAAATGGGGTTATGTATCTGTTGATGTTTCTAATATCAATATTCAGTATATTTGATACTCAAAGAGGAATTTTACAGCTCTGCCCTATCCTTCCTTTCATGCTTGCATGGAGTTTATTAGTCACCGAGAGAGATGGAAAGCTATAGCCTTCTCAGGTCTTCTCTGAGATTGTACCCAGCCTTGGGGGGTATCTTTCTAGATTCCCAGAAATACATAGTATTTTTCAAAGCCCTTATTCCTTAAACCATCTCATTCTTCAGCCTTTGTTTCCAGGCTTTTCAGTTTCTCTATTTTTACCCAGTCTTTATGTCTTTTCCCAGGAGGCAAGGGCTAATGTTTTTTTTTTTTTTCTTGTTTGTTTTGTTTTTGTTTGTTTGTTTGTTTTTGTTTTTTTGGTGGGACCCTTGCTGGCGGCCGGGGAATGAACCAGCACTGCAGAGGCTGTAGGCAGCCTCACAGCCCCGCGCTCAACCGCTGCACCACCAGGGGAGGCCCTGGGCTAATGTATTTTTAATACATGCCTACCCACCCTTTCGATCATTCTAAATCAGGCAAAAATGATTGATATCTCAAATACTGTTGAAAATGCACTTAATAAGAGGATTATATGGCTGGAGTTTTAGATTTAGAAATGAGCTATAGTGTCTATGTTGAGCTATTCTCCCATTGCCTTAGGGTTTAGTACTTGTGGATGAGTGTCTACATTTTGTGGTGGCCAAAAACAGTAGGAATAAACAATGCTTTGCAGCTTGGTTCATGTCAAAATGTGAAGCTCTGGAGAGAGATACATTCCATCCTACTAAGGGAGGTGAGCAGGCTGAGCATGGAAAACAGTGTTGTGCTGAAGGTCTTATGGGATCAGCAGGCATGATTGTGGGCATTTGCTTGGGATGGGTACTTATGTTCTTCCCAGTAGCATCCTCACAGAGCAGTGAAATTGATCTCTGGAGAAATCACTTTTAGGCAGACAGTCTTGTCCTTTAGTCTTAAGTCCTTGCTTCTATTTGCTTCCTGTTTTTTGACTTTGGGTGTCTTCTGAACACTGTTCCAAGCACCCATTCAAGTATTTTTTATACAACACTATCTTAAGCACGTTTTAACACTGTCTTTTTCTTTCCAAGAGCTGGGGTGGAAAGGAGAATGGCTTTGGACTTGCAGAATGTTGCAGAGACTTGCATATGATGGTAAGTAACTCTTTGGGACATGGGAGTCTTTTGACAAAGCTGTAGCCTCTTTTTGAGCTTACTTTGCATTGAATATGTGGCATGTAAAGTTGACGCTTCATATCAGGATGTTTGAAGAACCTGAGAAATTGAACATACCTTGTCTAGACATGCTTGTGTCCTCAATGTGCTTATGTTAGATGAAGAATCTTGGGGACATAATGATATGGTTAGAGCCAACTCTTAGGTAGGACACTGTATTTAGTAAACTAGTTTGAAAGTGATTTAAAATTCTTAGAGAATGCAGTTGTTTGCATTGTCCCACTGGATCACTGAGCAGTCTGGCATGATTTAGGAATGGCTGCTTGAAGAACAGTGCTACCACTAAAGTCCTAGAGAACTTAGAATGTTCTTTGTGTTATCCATGTTTACCCCTCATGCCCTGTCCTACTCACCCTTCATTCACGAGCTCAGCCCATTCTCCCCTGTTTTTTTTATATGTTTGCTGTGGGAACTACAAGATATAATTGGATTTGTTGTAACAATCCTGTGCCAAGAAGCAGCTATATTCTCTAGCACCTATATTGTTTCTTTTATTAGTTTGTCATATTTAGCATAAATGACTGCTATGAAATTTAGTGATTTATGTCAGAAACTTTTTCCCCCTAGTAGAATGGCACTTATTCCAGTAACAGGAAAGTATACATTAGAATGAATTACTGTCCCACCTTAACTGATATACTTTAGTGTGCATTGTATAAGTGGGTATTGGGTAATAAGGGAGGTGAGTCTTACTGTTTAATAATCAAAGCTACATAGATCTTAAAGAAATATTCAGTTTGAAATTCTGATTCTGAGAAAATAATTTTTCATTTCAAAATCCAGTTGGCTGATTCTGAGTCTGTTTATGTATATCAAGTTTGTTCTTTACCCCTTTAGTAAAACAATATATTCACTCTACTGAACTTGCCTGATGTATTTTACTCATTCTGGTCCTGGCCTGTATTAAGAACTCATACATCCTTTTATTTATTAATTGATGTTTAGCATATTGTGAGACTTTGAAAAATTTGATGTGTGCTTTAAAAAGTAAGTAATACATATACATGTTAAAAGAGTATAAAAAAGTATGTAGTAGTTCTACATTCCTAGAGGTAATCACTGCTATGAATTTCTTTCAAGAATACATTTTGAAAGGTGGGCTGTTGCAGTCTTAATTTGTTTTTCATGTTACTTTTCTAGAATTAAAGAGGATTTATTGTCAAGGTCTGATTTATATTGACTTAGTGTGTATCTACCTGTGCCCGAAAAGCAGTAGGATATCATAAGAAAGAGGTACAGAATGGCATGGGAAGAAGGGAGTATTTGAAGAAATGTGAATGTATGCCCATGAGGCATAGTTTGAGTAAAATATTTTAGAAGGTGATGATAAACACTAAGGTTTCTGTAAGAACATTGTTTCCATTCTTGAGTTGGTCTCTCCACCCTTTCTTGAACTCTTATTCAGTACTGCTTGGCAGAGTTGCCCCTCTTGAGAATAGCTACAGTTAAAATTGATGTTTTGAAAGAAATGTTATCTGGTAACTTATAAGTAAGAAATATGGAAGCTTTTGCATCTCCGGGCTCCATTCACTTGATTCTCCCTTATTGTAAGACACCTGTCTGCACTCTGACAAACCTTAGAACAAACCTTTGAAAGCAGGCCATAGATCTGAGGCATTCAGAGTGGGAAGGGAAGGGAAGAGGGAGAGAAGAGCACAGTGGAATATGGTGGAGGACTATGATTTCCACACCTGAGAGGAGAAATCATTTACTATCAAAAAATTAACGAGAATGTAAGAAAATGATACTTCATTTAAAAATACTTTTTTGTAAACATCTGAACTCTGCTAGACAAGGAACAAAGGCCCTGTAGCTACTGGCTACACTGCTCAATGAGTTGAACATAAAGCTAGGACTTTGAGGGAAGATTTGGGGGGAAGATGCTACATGTTTTGCTTATAATCAGTTAAAACTGAGTATCTAATTTTTTCATGTGCTTTATACACAGAAATACCCACCCAGTGCAACTACACTACACTTTGAATTCTATGCAGACCCTGGGGCTGAGGTTAAAATTGAGAAAAGGGTAAGTCTCATTCAGACTTGTCTTAATAGTATCTACTGTAACTGGGGTTGAATTTTCTAAACGACTTCTCAGTTAAATGAAGAAATGATTTTGAGCTTCATAGCTAATCCTCCCAAACTAAGCATACTTAGCACCCGCTCAGAAATAACTGTTCATTGTATGTGCAGCTCTGATAAGTTGGGTCTTATGTTGGGACTCCCAAAAGATAAGACCCCCCTTTATGGAATGCTACTATGACATCTGATTTCACAGTTGCGAATTCCAACATGCAGTGTAATAGCTTGGATAATAATGATTCACCTTTCTCTGCTTAAACTAGAAGTCTGTATATTGCTTAAAGGGTCCTTCAACTTTGTGATCATCCATCTTCTTTCAGCAGATAATAACATTGAGTTTGGTTTAGAAGTGTCCTAGTAAATAAGATCTTTTATTCTTCTACCTGTAATATATAATTACAAATAAATCTTTCTAGATTAATGATGCCTTGAAAACAGGTCTAACATGTATTTAGAAAGAAACCATTTTCATGGATTCATTGTTTGCAATACATACAGAGGCCGTGGAGATTTAGTCCATGAAAATTTAAGAGACAAGAAAATATGAAATGTGTGTGGGTATGTGTGATGTGTTTTGATACTATTGGTTTCAAAAAAACTGTCCTGAGTATATTCTGTATATTAAATTGGTATTTTAGGGGACTCTAAAGTTACCGTGACTTTAAGAACTTTCACGTTAGACTTCAATCTTGTTTTTCAGGAAGTTCTTACAGTCCTGTGACAGATAAATTAGGTTACTTCATAATTCTTAATACCTCTCATCTTTTTAATTTCAGACAACTAGTAACACACTACATTATATTCACATAGAACAACTTGATAAGGTAAGAGGAATCTTTTGACTATTGGCTAATTTCTAAGTATTTGGTTTAATTTTTGTTCCTAACTATTTTTTTTTAATGTAGATTTCAGAAAGCCCTTCTGAAATCATGGAATCTCTTACCAAAATGTACAGCATTCCTAAAGATAAGCAGGTAATAATAAGTCCTAAAAATTTCTAAAGGGTGTGATTGCTTTCCATATAGACTCAATATAAATGATATGTGCTGGGCTGGCAGACAACATAGCATGAATTTCAGCTTTGAATCAGACCACAAGCAAACTATTAGCTTCCATGAGCCTTAGTTTCTCATCTTTTATGACGCCAACACTAATTTAGGCCCTCATAGAGAGAGTTTAAGGAAAATGTAAACTGCCTTACTCAGCATAAGTAGCTAAGAAGTGGTGGTAGCTCAGTCCTGGATGCTAAGGGAGTAAACATTTAGTTATTGTGTTTTTTTTCCTGCTCGCTGTGACAGATCAGATATTTAATTTGATTAGTAACAATCAGAACTCTTGCCACATGTCTTCAGTTTGCCCATCATTGTTGTGGTAGTTCTTGACTTATGTTAGGATATTAGGATTCTGTGAGCCTGTTTTGTTATTCTCATTTTGTCAACTAACCTCAGAGTGGAACTGTTTTATGCCTTAACAAATAGCAACAGTTAATCCTTTTACTAAGTAGTCTTAACGGGTAAGATTGAACTCTCAAATTATGTTCATCTTTTCCAGTGATTTCCTAATTTAGGTCCTATCTCTCTACAGATGCTGTTATTTACACACATACGCCTGGCCCATGGCTTTTCTAATCACAGGAAGCGATTGCAAGCTGTTCAGGCCAGGCTGCATGCAATATCTATATTAGGTAAGAGAATAATATAATTAATAGGCAGTGTTAAAACTTGCTTTCCTTCAAAATCAAGTCTTTTTTGCAATGAGGCTTATTGTAGTTACCTACATGGAAAATTAAATAGTATAATTGCCAGCGTTCCTAATATTCATGGCATTTATTCTTGAGCTCCTTTAATGTTGGATCAGAAAGAGGATTTGATGCTTGTTGACATCACATAGGTTTAGTCTTGATTTTGGTCTTTTTTAAATGAATATTCATGTAGTCATTTCGCAATAGCCACCCTATTTTCCTCTTACCATTTCATCTTCCTCTTCTATCCCTTCAAGAATGTAATTTTTAAATAAATCCAGAAGTATTTGTTAAGTAGTCAGTGACATATTACTGTGGAGTATTAAAGTAGAATGTATACTAGTTTTTTGGAATGATCAGTACTTGGCCCTTATCCTAACTCTACAGATTATTAGCCACATGTTTATCCTTTTAGCATCAGTTTCCTTGTTTAATATTGGGATACTGCTTATTTTATAGGCTAATCTGAGGATTAAATGAAATCCTGTAAAGCACCTAGCACAGGCCAGCTACATAGAAGGTATAAAAATAGTAGCTGCTGTTAATATTACCAGCCTTCATTATGTTGTTACTTGTTTGTTTGCTCTTTTAAATTGTTAGATCTTTGAAGTGAAATTTGTAGTCTTATCTGGACAACTTCTGGCGTGTTGGTGGGTGCTCAGGAAATGAATGTTGGAAACTGAATGAGTGTGCTCAAATCCTATTTTAATTTGTATTTCATGAGACTATGTCTGGTATTAGTATTAAAAAAAAATTGCTGTCCATTCTCTTGTTTCAGTTCCCAAAAGTTCTGGTTCAGTACTGCTGATACATTTATAGGGGAATCTGTCACTTTGGTGGGTATTTTGAGCTCATCACCATATTTTATCCAGTCATCTAGAACTTATTGATTCTGCCCTCCAATGCTGATTGGAAGGGAATTCCTTCCCCAAAACCAGTAGGGGCCAAAATGTTTGTCATCGGGCAGTGGCTTGACCACTGCCTTCTTGCCTAAAGTGTTTGTTTCTCCTTTTGCAGTGTATTCCAATGCCTTGCAGGAGTCAGCCAACAGTATCTTATATAACGGGTTGATAGAGGAGTTGGTAGATGTCCTGCAGATAACAGATAAGCAGCTTATGGTAAGTATTAATATTCTCTTGTTTATACCAAACTTGTGACTTGCTGTTTGGTTTTCCCCAGTGGTTTAGAACAAACTCCAAGTGGAAATCATGGCCATTTTGCTTCTTTCCCTTAGATATTTAGCTGCAAATTAAACAAATGCTGGCTTTTCCCTGTTATACTAAACAGATCTCCATCTGCCCTATGCAGTTCCCAGTAGAAGAACTTAAATTTGAGAGTTTAGGATTTTGGCAATTTGGTTCAGTCATCTACTTCCTATTTAACACATTTTATGTTTATATTCTGCTTCATAGGAAATTAAAGCTGCTTCTTTACGAACATTAACATCAATTGTCCACTTAGAGAGAACTCCCAAACTAAGCAGTATTATTGACTGTACTGGAACTGCCTCTTACCATGGATTTTTACCTGTTCTTGTGCGAAACTGTATCCAAGCCATGATTGGTAAGTTTTGATAGCTACTGTCTTAGGCAGCAAGAGGAACACAGCCCTTTGCTCATCTGCCTTTAACGTCCTGCCAGGTTAACACCAAATTCTGAGCTTGTACTTTCTCTCCCTCCCAACCTCACTTGTAGATCCGTCCATGGATCCATACCCTCACCAGTTTGCCACTGCGCTCTTTTCTTTTTTATACCATCTGGCCAGCTACGACGCTGGTGGCGAAGCCTTGGTCTCCTGTGGGATGATGGAAGCCTTATTGAAGGTGCTCTGTTTTGTTTTGTTTTGTTTTAATAAAAACTTCTGTTGGGGAGTAAGAGAGGATGTAGTATTGTATTTGGAATGATTTACAGTAAGAACAGATAGAATAAAAAAGCTTACCCAGAAAATGTTACACTGATTCCTCCGGTTTGGCTTTCTGGTTATCTCATTTACAATTTTCAAAAGCAGCTATCTCCATTATTAAGAATTGATCATAGTTCAGCAGGGTGCTATTGTCTTTCAAGACATTGCCACTCTTATGACCTTAGACATGACCCTGGAGAAAATATATGTAAAGATACTTTGTAAATTGTGCTATGATGGCAATATTATTCTTTACTTCATGCTGGGCACTAGGCAATATCTTTTCTTCTCCCTAATATTTCACTTAATCCTACTTTAATCCCTCATGTCTATGTGTATATGTGTATGCGTGTACATGTATGTATATGTGTGTATATATACATAGGTGTGTGTGTATAAGATTTTCTTACTACTTTTCCTGTGCTTGTAGCATGAAGTAGATTTTTGCCCCAAAAAGAACGTCCATTTATGATTTGCAATTTATTGTCCCCATTACCTCAAGAGGTTGAGTTATAGAAGTGATAGAACTTATCATTTGGCATGACCAAAAATCAAACACATTTTTCCCCCCATTTACCATGCTGTCTCCCTGAGACTCCAGACTGCATTTTTCCAAAAAGTTGTTATTTATAGCTTTGTGTCTTTTTATTTAACCAGTTTTGCTTCCTTTTCGGTTCCTGATAGGTTATAAAGTTTCTTGGTGATGAACAGGACCAGATAACATTTGTCACCAGAGCCGTCAGAGTGGTTGACCTCATCACTAACTTGGACATGGCAGCTTTTCAATCCCATAGTGGACTTTCTATCTTCATTTATAGACTTGAGGTATTATATAAGGTGCACTTGCATACACTTAAACCAATTAAAAGCTAAGTCTAGGAACTATCTTACCCTAAAGAGCCATCTTACCTGTTTTTAGAAACCAATTCTATATCTGCCTGCAGCATTCTTTCATTTTATTTTTAATCCCTTCTACATATGTAAGATTGTCATACTACTTTTTCCCTCAATAACAGCATGAAGTAGATTTGTGCCGAAAAGAGTGTCCATTTGTGATCAAGCCAAAGATCCAGAGACCTAGTACTACACAAGAAGGAGAAGAAATGGAAACTGATATGGATGGTAATTAGATTACTAAGTCATTACTTTTGTGCTTGACATTTTCCTGTCATTCAGCCCCAATTTTGTGCACAACTAACTTGAATATATATTTTCAACAACAAAACTATTTTTTCTACATAAATGATTTGGGTCTTGTTTTCATGGAGATAATTAGAAAAGAAATTTGTGAATTGTTGGACCTAGAAATGAAAGGTGATCAGGATACTGTTTTGTTTAATGCTGTTTCTTCAGCAGTATCTGATACATTGTGATTAAATACAAGTTTGGGAATGATACAGAAACTATCTGGCTATTTTCAGAAGGGAGAGGAGAGGTTGAGAAATTTTTTGGTTGGTGAACTTCTTTGAAATCATATAATCAGAAAAACAGAAGACCAGATCATTCTTAATCTCAGATGTGTCATGTATGTTCTTTTTAACCTCCCTGCTATCCCCATCCAACCCATAGTTCATAATAATAGTACCAATAAGAAAAACTGTTCCCCAAAACAGTTTTCTTAAAATTTGAATTAATCTTACATTGATGGCCTATGATGTCATTACATGTATCCATTACCATACTCATAAAGGTATAAGAATTTGTAGTGCTTCCATTCTTGACACCAAATATTCTGAATACAGTTAACTATGTCCTTTGTTGCTCCTACAAACCCTTTTACCCAAATTTATTTTTCTAGTCTATTGTGAGCAAGCTGGCATTTGAGTTAATCAACACTTCCAGAGTGTTGATTAAAATGTGACATCCACTAAATAGTGGGATGTAGAAAGCTACGAAGACTTGCTGCTCATCATAAATCAGTGGTTGACAAACTTTAGTAAGCATAAGAATAAATTACAGTGTTTATACTAAAGATTTAGACCCTACTGCAATCTTAATTCTATAAGTTTGCAAATGAAGACCAGAAATTCTTCATTTTTAACAATCATTTTAGGTAGTTCTGACATACTCATAGAGAAAATTGTATATTCTCTCAATGAAAAGCTTGTTGGAGAACCATGAATTTGTTCTTCTCATTTGTAAGGCACATGCATGTGTGATTGTATGATCATATAATATGTATAAAAAGTAGGAATATTTTGAAATATAAGTAGTTTATCACTAATGGAGCTTTTTATATATTTTTTTAATTCTAAGAATTGTGTATCTTGTATTTATTAGATATTGAGTACAAATAATATTTTACTTACCAGCTTTTTCTCCCAAGTTTGGTTGGTAAGAATTCTGATTTCTTTTTTAGGATTGTTTCTAATTTGCATGTCTTAATTACTAGTGATATTAAGTACTTTTTTGTTTTTGGCAAGCTTGCATTTTCATTCTGGATTTCTTTATCCTAATTCCTTTTTATTTTTTATATCGTTCATCTCAGTGGAAAAAAATTTTCTTCAACTGTCTTTCTTTGGATGGTACCTTTTATTCTAACTAGTTTATCATAACTCTTGCTTCAGTTGCAGATGTGACTATGGAAAGTAGTCCAGGCTTATCCATATCTATGGAGCACCGGCTAGATGTTGAATTAAGGGCATCCTGTTCCAGCAGCAGCGCTAACATTTCCTCTGGCGCTGGACCCCGTCCTGGTGCGTGGACATCTAGATATACATAGTCTTTCACTCTGAGTAATGAAATTAGTGAAGAGGGTGTGTGTGTGTTTGTTTTATGGGAGCTTACGTGCCCCCCTCAGCCCCCCCCCCAATAAGAAAACTAGGTGTTTGCTTCTTATGACAATACATGTTGTTTTGCCATTCTGGTGTCCATTTTCTTATATTAATATTTATTTCATTGCATTTTTTAGTTTTCTAACTATTTGCACATCCTGATTATTTTGCCATGTTGGAGGGGAGATTAGAACTAAAACAGGAACTAAAGATTGGAGAGTTAATCTTTTCACTTTATTTTTTTAACTTTAGACTTTTAATATTAGTATTAGTTTTATGCAGTACTTGGAGATATATTTTTCCAATTTCAGAGCTTGGGTAAGTATTCTTCCCATCATCTAGAGATCTAATTATGAATGTCTGCTTGTATTTCTATAGTTTATGGGTCGCTTAAAAAATGTTTTATGTGCCTGCTCATGTGGTCTAATAATGGTAAACCCCAAATAACCCTGCCTTTCTCCCATGCCAGGAGTCCAGTGTATTCCACAACGAGCAGCACTTCTCAAATCCATGTTGAATTTCCTCAAAAAGGCCATTCAAGACCCTGCTTTCTCAGATGGCATACGACATGGTATTTGATTCTAGATACTTTCTTGAAAGATGTTTTGCTCTCAAAAATTAGTCCTTTTCAGACTTTCTGATGCTACTCTTTAATAAGGCAGGCTTAGGAAAAAGGCCATGCCATTTTTTAACAGCTTTTAGTCATTTAGTGTTGCTTTTCTTAGACCTGGGATCATTTAGCTATTTTTGTAGTGATTCCATTATTTTTTCCTTTTTCTACCTTTTGACTCTGCTCACTTACAGCCTGCTACCCTACTCTCTTTGTGCCTGTATTCTTTTACTTCTTTGACCCACTGTTTACAAGGATATTGTATGGACAGGAATAAATAATGGAGTATGAAGAGGATCCCAAGTAGAGGCCATTACATTGAAGTCTACACAATGTTTGCTAATATGTAGTATATGTAATATATTGATTCATCATCTGCACACCTATTAGACTACTCCTGATCTGATCATAGTCTCATTTATGTTCATTTTTCTCTTAGTGATGGATGGTTCTCTCCCTACCTCCCTGAAGCACATCATCAGCAATGCAGAATATTATGGCCCATCCCTCTTCCTCCTAGGTAAGAGAAGTTGACATTTGGTGATACCAATCTGGAATAACCTGAGAGTTCGCTGTGTGTTTTATGTCCTTTCAGGATTTTACTACCCACATTTTTCCAATGTGTGATTACTTATTTTTCAACTTAGTGATGAGTGAGAAAGGCCAGAATTCAGTTTCAAATAGTCATTTTTGATTGCCAAATATATCTGCTATAAACAGTGTATTATTGTGAATGAATCGTTTGTAGTAAATAGTAGTTTTGTATATTTGGCTTTTTTTGATATGTTATGCTGCAATCAAATTTTCATTTGATTGTTAGTCCCTAACCTTGGTATAGAAAATCCAGTCACAATAATTTCCATTCTCAGATATAAATATAGTACTCGCTATATAGAAAATTGTTTCTTAACTGTAGAAAATACAGTTTTGGAGGCCGTGGATACTCTGTAGCTGTTAATAGAAAATATCTTTGCAATTTGACATTGTGACTTGTTGCCTTTGTTATAAGATGTCATTTTTATTAAATGACAGTTACTGAGTGTCATAAACAGGACAGTATTCTGAATATATGAACTTCTAGGGGTGTCTGCATGAGGGGGGTGTTTTTGCTACTGCAACTAAGATACTTAGTCCTTTGCTGAAGCAATTTAGGATTTTTGTTTTATTAACTTTATATCCAGTCACCTTGTTAGATTCAGTTAATGGTTCATAATTGTTGATTTCTTAATATGTTCTGTTTTGTCTTATTTTCTGCATTTTTTACTTATTATCTTTATTGCTATGTATTTGTCTTTCTGCATTGGCAAAGATTTTCAATATAATGCTAAATAGATTTGGTGAGAATAGGACATGGAGCTTCCGTGCCATCTCCAGGCTTGCCATTCTCTGCAGATCTCCATATGTTCACCAGTTTGGCAGCTCTTTGGAAACTGCTCATTTTGTTTTCATTTGGGATTTCATTCCTTAGGCATGATTGATTAAGTCATTGGCTATATGGTAATTTTGCTCCCCCTCCAGTCCTTCTCCCCTCTCTGGAGGTCTGGCACCAAGACCTCCACTTCCTCAAAGAGGGACCAGTGACCTTTTAAAACAATCATGCTGGGAAGGATTTTGGCAGAGACCTTTCTTGTGAGATACAGAATAGTCTGTTTGAGAGGGTGAGGACTGTCAATTTTTAATGGGTCCTATTCTGTTATCTAGTCCCTTGATAATAGGTGCCAATCTATCAGATTATGCCAGGATCAAAAAAGGTGTGTTATCTTTAAGTCAGGGGGAATTCTATTTGGGTATTATAGATTCGTATATGGGAAGTTTCCCCTCTTGAGACTAGAAAGAATAGAGAGGTCCTAGTTGTTTTCTGTTAGTAGGTCATATAACTTAAAAGTTGAGTTTGGGGGCATCCCTGATGGCACAAGGGGTTAAGCACCGCACTCTGAAGCAATCCGCAGCCTCTGCAGCATGAGTTCAATCCCCGGGCGGCCAGGGAGCAACCCACATGGTGCGGCAGATTTCTCTTGTCTCGCCCGCTGCTCCCCTCACCAGTATTATTTCAGTCAGTCTGCCTGTTCTGTTCCCCACTCTGTCTCTGGTGAATCCTCTCACCCCCCCCCAATCTCTGGCCTGTGCCCCAGCTGTTGTATGCATAAATAAATAAATCTTTTAAAAAAAAAGTTGAGTTTGGGATAACCAAGAATATGGTCGAAGGACTCATTTAGGAAACCGTTATCCATTTTGTAAGTATAAAAAAGTGTTCTTCAGTAGGCCACCATATCTATTAGGCCTGCTGTCTGTGGACAGTAAGACAAATTGGAAACTTAAAGCGATTTTTGGGTATTATAGATTCTATTTGGGTATTATAGATTCATAATACCTTTTTTAACTTTTTTATGACCTTTCTCAGACTGAATGAGTAGTAAAATGTGTACCCTGATCACAACCAGTGTTATCTGGATGCACAAAGGGAACTAATGTTTGAAGCTCTTCTTAATGGTGTTGGCAATAGCATGGCAAGAAGGGTAACTCAAGAAGAGGCCTGTATAAAACTCAGTCTTTATGAAGATGTAGAATTAGCACTAGCAAACTGGGGCAGTGGCACAGTAAAATGAATTTGCTAGTCAGAAAAGAGGTCTTTACTCCTGTGTATGGATTTCTGTTAGCCATGAAGACAGCAGCAGCATAGGGCAGAAAGATCACATTGGGAGGTCAGAGTTTGGGCTAGATAAGGCCAGTAGCATTGGGGCAAGAGGAGTGAAGGGAAAGGTGCCTTGGCATTTTGCCCAAATTTTAAGGTTTTGGGGACTGTTAATATTTGGAGGGCTTATGAATTCACTGAACCAAGGGCAGGGAGTTATTGTCTGAGTTTATTTGACAAGTGTGAAAAGAGCTTCCTCTGTGGTGACCTTGGCAGAGGCTGGGACATAAGCCTTCATTGTAATACATGAGTCTGAGCAGCAGTATAATTCCCAATGTGGAAAATTCTATAGGGCATGATCCTGAATGTAATAACTGTTTTGAGCCCCTTGGTCAGAATAAAATCACTGAGGCCAATTTGCTACCAATCAGGAGTCTATAAAAATATATAAAAAATGAACATACCCTCATTGAGGTGTCCTCCGTTGCTGAAAAGATCGCAGTTAGCTCTTGAGCTGACTCTTAAGTCCCATCCTTTATCAGGAGTGATCCAGTCATATGGTGAAAAGAGCGACTCTATAGCAGGTTCTGCATATGTGATTGGTGGCGAAGACTCCTTTTCAAATGGATTTTCTACTCAATGAAGGTATGTTCCTGTGCTTTTCACATCCTATCCAGATAACTTAAAACAGCCTCGAAATCCAGGATCACACTTGGTTAGATAAATTACCCCTATGACAAAAGTTAGAGGCTCTGAATTCTTCTGACTTTTACTTACTTTGGACTTTTAACTATAATTTACCGTGTCTAATCTTCACAGTTTAAATTTTTTTCAAGTCTTTAATCCAGCACTTGGTTTTCAGCAGAATGATTTATGAAGGTATTCTGCCTTTTTATCTTAAAGAATTTTATACATTTACATGTTTCTTCTGTGCTCCAATATGTTCTTCTTTCTTTTCCCCAAAGTGTTGTTTTACGTTAATGTGTCTTTTCAGAGTCTGAATTGTATATTAATTTTCTCATGGTTATCCTTTGACATCTAAGCTTTTAAAATTTCTTAACTCTGTCTTCTTCCAAACTGGACAAAATAAGACCTTTGGTTGGAATATATCTTTGGGTAATTTTTAAGGTGTTATCCTTCCTTTTCTTTCAGAATTTTGTGTATATTTTTCCATTGTCTTCTAATATTGTATACTGTAGATAATTATGATGTCAAACTGGTTCTTGTTTCTTTGTAGGTAACTTCATTTTATCTTTACTCTTGAAGTTCACAAATTTAACCAGGATGTCTTTGTTTCTTTTCAGTGTTCCCTCATAGTACGTGGTTAAGCCCTTTAGTTTTTTCCTGCTTCAGGAAAATTTTTTTGTTACTTTTAACTTAAATGCTCTCTCCTGGAAACCCTCTTGTGTAATTAGTAGGCCTACCATATTGATCTCAAGTCACTTTCTGACAGAATTTGTATACACAGTTTCTCAAAGACATCCGTTGCATTATCAAATTATTTTTTACATTTTTATTTTCCATCTACTTATTCTTTTTTTAAAGATTTTTTTTCATTTATTTATGCATACAAGTGCTGGGGTACAGGCCAGAGATGGCGGGGGGTGAGAGGATCCACCAGAGACAGTGGGGAACAGAACAGGCAGATTTACTGAAACGCTACTAAGGGGAGCAGCCAGCAAGACTGGTGTGCTGTGCCATGCAGTTTACCTCCCTGGCCGGGAATCAAACTTGTGCTGCATTGTCTGCCAATAGCTTCATAGTGCTGAGATTTAACTCCTTGTGCTACCAGAAGGCCCTACTTCGATATTCTTTTTTTTTTTAAATAATAAATTTTATTTATATATTCCCCCATACAATTGTAAACCCCCCATTCTGACCCCAATCCCTCCCTCCCGCGCCCCACCCCCCAAAAAGTGTCTCTGGTTCATAGTTTTTTGTTGATTTTGATTTTCACTTTCTTATAGTTATTCATTTTCCTGGTCCCTTATTTAAGTTTTCTAGATTCCTGCTATGAGTGAGACCATCCGGTATTTTTCTTTTTCTTTTTGGCTATTTCGCTGAGCATGATCCCTTCCAGCGCCATCCATGTTGCTGCAAATTGCATGTGTTTATCTTTTTTGAATGCTGAGTAATATTCCATGGTATATATGTACCACATCTTCTTGATCCAGTCATCTATTTTTGGACATTTGGGCTGTTTCCAAAGCTTAGCTATTGTAAACAGTGCTGCTATAAACATAGGGGTGCATGTGTTCTTTGGAATTGATGTTTCTGTGTCCTTTGGGTAAATACCTAGGAGTGGAATTGCTGGATCATATGGAAGCTCTATGTTTAGTAGGTCCAGAAATCTCCACACAGCTCTCCATAGTGGTTGGACCAGTTTGCACTCCCACCAACAGTGTAGAAGAGTTTCCTTTTTCTCCACAACCTCGCCAACATTTGTTGTTGCTAGTTTTTTTAATATGTGCCATTCTCACTGGTGTAAGATGGTATCTCATGGTAGTTTTGATTTGCATTTCCCTGATTACAAGTGATGTTGAACATTTTTTCATATGTCTGTTGGCCATTTGCATTTCCTCTTCAGAGAAATTTCTTTTTAGCTCTTCTGCCCATTTTTTGACTGGATTATTTTCTTTGTTGTTGTTGAGTGTCATCAGCTCTTTGCAGATTTTTGTGATCAGTCCTTTATCATTAGTGTTGGGTGCAAAAATGTTCTCCCAGTTGGTGGGTTTCTCTTTGTTTTTGTTATTGTCTCTTTTGCTGTGCAGAAGCTCTTTAATTTGATGTAGTCCCAGCTGTTTATCTTTGCCTTCACTATCACTGCTTTGGGTGATGTGTCTGTAAAGATGTCTTTGATATGCAAATCACGTAGTGTTTCGCCTATA